TGCTGAGGGATGGCACACATGCAGAGTAAACTTCCTCACTCCAATGGCCTTCCGATAAAATGCAAATTCTAACCAAGTTGGACCGTGAGAGCGCGATGTCGACCCAAAAAGACTTGGGGTTAAGGGGAGGGTACATTTAGAAGGGCTAAAGCTAAGCTAGAAGGAAATAAATGAATCGAATCAAAACTCGTTAAAATTAAAAAGTAAAAGAAACTCGGAGATAAATGAGCATTAAAAAAATGTGTTACGTCAGCAGAATGACTGAATGACACTTTTTTGTTTTGGAAAATTTGGTTTGCAGATTTTTGATGTAAAATTGAATGGAGATCGGATGTAGATTCAGATTTCTTTTTCATCCTGAGACTTAGGGAAACTGAAAAAGCGTTGCCGTGGTTTCAGTGATCTAATTGCTTCCTCAACTCTTAACTGCGTACGTCAAAGTGTATTTTCATCCCAAGTGCTTATTATCTACCAAATACACGTGCAGCATTCTCAATGAGCTTAAAAGGCTAACTAAGCTTTGGGCTAGCCCACGACTTAGCATAGTAACTACGACTAGCGTAGTTTTGAAGGAATTCAAAAGTTCGAATAAGTTTTCAAAACATGTTTTTTCACAAGTAACACATAGCAATGTGATTTCATGTCTGACTGATATTAAACAGTACTTGTTACACGCAGTACTAATCACTACATGTATTTTGTGCCACGTGCTGTAGCGCAAGCTAAAACAGTCTGACGCCGCTACAATAAAACGATTCTTATTGCGTCCTCTCTGTAGGTTTCCGTGTCTTTCCTCGTCACCTTGGTCTTCGAGCACTCACTCCCACACTGTCTCTTGAGCAGGGCCACTACAGACTAAACTGTGACCCACTGCAGATGGTCTCTAATTACACTATACTACAGTCGCTACGGCGGGGCAAACACTCCGTCATCACAGGGACCTCAGAGTGACTGTCGGAGGGTATCCTTTCACTGTGTGTGGCATCGGTTCACAACATAAAGGTGCAGGGCTCTACTACAGTACGCACACACACCGAGTGTTTCCAACGGCGCAGACAGTGTTTGTTTCTCTCTCCATCGCGTCTCCATCCTTTCACCATTTATCATGTCGGCCTCAGTCTAAATACTTCACACGTCGCGTCGTCCTGGTACCAGTGAAGTATACGTACATGTACAGTATATATATATACACATATGTATATATATAAAGTCTTTGAGCTCCATTTGTTCCCAGCTCCTGTCAGCAGTTTTTTATTTTTTTTACAATCCTGTCTGTGTCTCTGTCTGAACACTACTACAGAAGGTGGTGGGGAAGGGGGAGGCAGGGNNNNTCTGCCAGGATTGGTGGTGGAAGGACCATTGCTAGACAAAACAAAGAGAAGGAGAAAGGATGTGTACACATTCGGCTCATTTATTGCTGACAGAGTACTAATACCTTTCTCTCAGACGGACGTCGGTTTCGTAGGTTTCCTCTTTTATTACAGAAAGAAATAATAATATTCAACCAAGCGGTTGACCGCCGCTCACTGTCTTGTGGCTTTAGTGCGTTCGACTGTTACGGCAGTTCGTTCTTGGAACAGTGGTCTATTGATTCCTTCAAATGTTCCTTAGAATATTTGTTTAATGGAACTTTAACGTATGTTGTAAATGTATATATGTATTTACCCAAGCTTATTTGCAGTTATACATGAATTATTATTACGTTGTTTATTTAAACTCTGGTAAGGTATAGTAAAAAAAAAAAAGTATTTTTCGTTAAACATTTTAAGCCAAGGGTGTCAAACACATTTTGGTTCAGGGGCCACAAGTACAATGTTTTTTCCCTTTATTTACATGCAAAAAGTACGTATATTAGAAAATCATCATAGTTAATTAAATATCATTTTATAAAACATATCATGAACATGAAGTGTTATTTGTGCATGTTTTTGAAAATTCCTCAAGCGGGCCGGCTTGAACCGCCTAACGGACTGAGTTTGACCCGCGGGCCGTATGTTTGACACCACTTTTTTAAACTATAATTCTCGAAGTGAATCTGGGTAAGGGTTTGACTGCACGTTGTTATAATATTAGCTGTAATAACATTTGAACGTATTAGAACTTGCTCTATGTCAGGGATGTCAAACATATGGCCCGCAGACCCATACTGGCCCACTTGTCTGGCCCACATGATTCATTTTGAAAATAAAAAATTGTCAGGGATGTCAAACATACGGCCCGCAGACCCATACTGGCCCATCACGTGGTTCAGTCTGGCCCACTTGATTCATTTTGAAAATAAAAAACATGACACCACTTCATGTCTAGGATATTCACACCAATCATTACATTCCAATGGAATAAAGTAAATGAAGTCAAACTGAAGTACCTTTCTCATTGTGTCCTACTGCGACCCGGTAACAAACGACCTACGGACCGATGCCAGACCCCAAACCTGGGGTTGCGGACCCCTGAATTAGACTCTTTTTAATCTGTTGGAAAACAGTAAAAAGCAAGCAAGTGGAATGGATGGATTTAAAGTGAACAAAAAGGTCAAGAACAATTTGTATTTGAGGGAAAAAAGTCATTATGACTGTATTCACAGCACCCCCTACAGGGATCGAGAAGAAACATGAAAAATCGAGAAATGGAAAAAACATTTTTTTTCACTAAAACAATGCATATTAAACGTTTCCTTGTGCAGTTTTTGTTTGTGTGCGCGCACGTACGTACAGTACGTTGAATCTGGAAATGTCGTACAGAATACTGGGGGTGGGCTTCTTTGGTATAACTGGCATTTTGGCATCAGCTTCAGTAGCCAGAGCCCCAGCCTGGCAAATACTCAGTCTACTGGGCAAACTGATGGACAGAGGACAGGAGAGGGGAAGAGGGAGGAGGAACGGAGGAGAGATGGGGAAGAGGAGAGGAGGGGAAAGGAGGGGAGAGGAGAGGAGAGGAGAGGAAGGGAATTGGAAACACATGCAGTGGTCTGACTGCTGGTCTCCCCCCCCCTCTGCCTCATCCAGACAACCGCACACAACAAAGACGGGAGCTGGGCCAAAAATGGTGTGAGGCAGAGTGCGAAGGTGATGATACATGGGTAAGGGTTGAATTAGGAAAAATGGCTACTAGTAAATGCTAAACAAATACCAATTATGTGACTTCGTTCTTTCTTTCTTTATTTCTTTCTTGGTTGCAAACAGTTGCACACTGATGACGGTGCAACGCCTGGTTGCTCCAGTGAAGACGGTTCCCACAGGACAGACAACCGGACAGCGTGTCTCCAACACTTGAAACACCAAACCGACGTAGTAGCAACATTGACGTATTCCTTTACAACAACAGTCGAACCGCAGCTAAAAGAGCGAAAACGACACACGAAATTTTTTCTTTAGATCTCGATCCACGTTTTCCTTCATGATAAAAAAAAAAAAAAAAAAATTATTGAGCCGTACTGCAGTGACTGGTTTTTGTCAGGTTGGCAGAAAATGTTGCTTTTCTTTGGTTGGAAATGTTACGTTTGTGAGACTTGGGCCTTCCCGATGG